ATCGCCCGGCGGCAGCAGCAGCCGCCACTGTGGTACCTGCTACACCACCTCCCCTGGCTCAGCCCTGGCCCCTGCCTGGGGGCAGCAAAGTCTCCCCACACCCGGGGAAGCCGTGGGTTGGTTGTGGCATGGGGCAAAGCCGGGAAGGAAAGAACCGAGGGAGAAGGCAAGGGCTTCAGACTGCCTCTGCTCTGCAAGGCAGTTCAACACCCACTTGCCTTTGCTTCAGCCACCTTTAACTCAAGTGTAACAAACACCAAATGAGGAACAGCTCAATAACCTATACTTTGGTTTTATTACAAGCAAGTGAGATAAAAGTCACTTTAAAAGTTTAAAAGTGTTGTAGCTGGAAAAGTAGCTAGGTTGTTGGCAAAAAGGGAGGGGGAAAAACTTTACTGAAGAGACAGGCAGGGGAGTGACAAGAAAAAGTCATTGGAAAGGAGTAACAGTTATGGTTACTCTAACCTTGTCCTTATTCCTTTTTGTTCTCCGTGTATTAACATTTGAATGGCAACCTGCTCACACTTTCCTTCCCGAGTTAAATTCTGTTTTGTGAATAAAACGCAGGACCAGTGGGTTACAACATGCGATGCCATGAAGCCATTGGAGCTGCACTTGAACAAGGCTGCGCTTTGTTCCTCCACTGCCTCACTGCTCTCTCGAGGCATCTTTGAAAATCCCTGAGGTTGAGCCAGTAGGCATTAGAGCTTTGTCGTCACAGCAGACACAATATTCCTGGTTTTTATGGGATAAATAATTACCCAAAAACACTCTAATATGTTACACATACCTCTCAAGCCTCTTCTGCTTTGATTTGAGGCACTGCCCTGCACCAGGCTGGGTGGTAGAGGAAAGCCTACAGCACTACGTTGCAGCTGTGGGTCCTGCCAGAGGCACCTGCCACCTGTCTTCTGCACAAACAAGCCCAAAATTTTAAACATATCTAGGTTGGCCTCTTCCTGCAAAACTCTGGAGTAGCAAATGAAGAGTGTGCGATAGCTGAGCTGCCCAAGCACGTGGAAAGCTGAGGTGCTGCACTGCAAATGCATGCAGGCTTGGAGTCACGCAGTGCCTCTTGGGTCCCAGGTCGTCACTGAACGGCAATCTCTCTCTAATATCTCCTCTGTGCAACCGCGACTGAGGCCTACCGCCTGGATGTGCTGCCCCAGGCCAGCCAGGCCCCGTCCCCCCGGCTCGCAGGGGTGAGCCGGCTGGCCCATTTGTCTCCCGTCATGGCTTATTTCCTGCCTATCGGGTACCAAACCGTTCTGACTCAGTTGCCGGAGGGAGGCACCGCTGGGTCTGCGCGCCGGCTGCTGCCCGCGCTGCCATCGCCTGCCCTCGCCAGGTTGCTTCTGCAACCCCTTGAAGGTTGCAGTCCCCGTGTCGCCCATGCGGTCCCGCTGCTGCAGCTCGGGCAGAGGCAGGGTTCATGCAAGCGCTCCTGCCCTCGCCCCAGGCCAAACCAAAGGTACTCGGGATCCTGGCGTTGTTCCGCACACCCATGGTGTCCTCCACCAGTTGGACCCTTGGCAAGGGCTGCCTCAAGGTCCTCGGCACAGCCTAAACTGGCAGGGCAGCAGAGGGGAAGGGGGTGTGTCAGCTTTACTACCCGTGCAGCTTATGCCAGAGCCCTGGGAAGCCAAGCAAACCGCATCTGTACACACGGGGCTCTCACTGACCCGCAGGTGCGCGGGTGGAGGTGGCAGTGGGGACTGCTCTCCCTGCCAGCCCCCTGCCAGCCGCCGGAGCAGCCCTGCACCTCCACCATCTTCCTTGTCCTCCAGGTTTTCCCCTGGGAAAGGTGGAACAAGTCCAGGTCAGGCATGAGCAGCCTGAATTCATAGTGGGAGCTAATCAGAGAGGCTTTGCCCGGAGGGGGAACAACTGTGCTCATCTGCGCTGCTTCATTGCCCAGGCTAAGGGGGGTGCCGGCAAGGGCTGTGGTGGAAAGACTGGAAGGAAACCATCTGCCTGCAGCTCAGGTCACTTACTCAAAACTGCCCAAGACCACATGAAACTGGAACTAGCAGTGGCTCAGGCACAGCAGAGCTCACAAACACTGCAAGAAGAGTGCAACCACAGGCGTCATAAATTCAGACAATTTCTGTTTTCAGCAAGTACTCAGCTGCAAGCAAACAGAGTGCAAGTAAACAGGAATGATTTAATTATCATATAAAAGTAATGAATTAAATGCAGGAATCAACAGGGAGTCCTTCTCAAACACTGGTGACACATTACTGTCAGTCGTGGAATAGTTATCCACAGACCTATATGAGCAAGAACAGACACTAGTTTCTACTCTTAATGTAGTACAATTATTTTGGCTTTTTTTTTCCTCCAAGACAGACAAAAACAGGGTTTAAAAATGTAATCAAAGACCATAAAACACTTTCAAAGCAAGTAACATAAATCCAAAGCTGGGGTTGATTCAGTGTTCCACTTTTAATATGAAATAGGCTAATGATCAAATTAATCAGTATTGTTAATTAGGAGGCTTAGTTCTTTCTGTTAGAGGGCTGTGGGTGACTAACATGATGTTAAGTACGGGTTAGGCCATTGCTGCTTGTAGCAGTTGGACTGAGGGACAGACCATCTTCTCCCAGCTTCTTGCACCAGTTAGTGTGTGGCCCCAGCATCCACATAACACTTCGTGTGCCACTTCTCCGCTCTCTTTCCCTTCCGTCAAAAGCATGGAATGGGCACTTTCATCTGAAGTTAAGCATCTAACATCCACATTTGGGCTGTGATCCCATGACAGTCACAGAGACTGGAGAATTAGATCCTGTTGCCCACACAAGCATATAGCAATGATGCCCGAGATGACTTAGGGCATGAAAGATATACCTGAGCTAGCAGGTATGACTGAGGACCGTTGGGAGATCTGAACCCTTCTAGACTAGCAGCCGAAGGCCAGGCAGGATACCTTCCAGCATCTCATGTGGCACCATGCATAGACAACTCAACCGAGGCAGTCAGTAGAGTCAGTTCAGCCTACAGAATGAGTCAGGTTACCCTAAAGCCACTTACTAGCTAGCTCAACTGCTCTGCTCGGCCATGCACACCTGTATCTCGACACTTAAATTTAGGTGGCTTAATCCTGAGCTGAATCCCACACACAGCTCCTGCAGGAAGCAAGGGAACTGCAGCTCCCTCATCTCCCATTAACTCACCACTGTTGCTCATGGCTTTGGTGAACTTGAACCAGGTCCTGTCCACATGTTAGCTTCAGATATTCATCAGAAACCTTCTGAGATACGGCAACAGACTCCAGTCAGGGGACATTTATTAGGCTGGGGGTTTGCTCTAAATTATTTGCCTCAAGGAATTAACTGTCCAGTTCAGCATCAGCCCATCACCCAGGAGACAATCTTTTCTTTCACACGCACAACATGTCATGTATCCCACCTTATGTACTTACTGGGGATTTGAGCAATTTATTTTGAAAACTGAGGCATGCACCAATCTCAGTGCTAGCATTTTATGCAGGCTCACTGAAAAATAGTCAGACATCAGCTATCCAAGCCCCAGAAAACAAAGGGCTCCATTTAGATGCCTGAACACAGGCATCTAGTGCCATTTGAGACACCCTAAGGCACCCAAGATACACATGAGGTTGGCAGATACCACATAGGACCTATGGAAGCAGCAGCTGGAGATGTGGAGACCATGCAGGATACCCCAGGGTGTCTCAAATGGTACTTGATGCCAAAGCATAAGCAACCAAATTAAGTTCTAAAAATCTTGTTTATATTGAAGTCAGATGTACGTCTCCCACATCTAACAAACACGTATCTTGCAGAGCAGCTAAGCAGCAAAAGAGCTACAAAAGAATTGCATCCTTATTTTGGGTCTACTGAAATCTGGCAGAGCTTACAGACTGTGTCAGCTTATTTTGTTATGAACATATAATGCTCACTGAACCCCATGAGCTGCTGTGATAACTATCTCTGCCAGCTTGCTGAATTGATTCCTTTCATTTGCTGCCTCTGAAGTTATGTGGCTAGAACAGAGCTTCTGCAATATACCAGTGCACCGGGAACACCGTTTTTTAGCTATGGGAGCAAGAGAGCTGTCTGAAAAGATTCATGAGCTCAGAATTGATTATCAGACCGTAGGAGCAGAAGGTCATTGTGTCAAGGCTCCTGGCTACTGCAGTGAGAACGTACTACTGGATAATCCTCTTATAAACACGTGCACTTCTGTGAGGGAGAATACCTCTAATGATTTAAATCCAATGTTTATTAATTGGTGCAGTTTATAATGACGAGGTTGTTATGGCACTACAGTCTTAACTGAGCTAGATGACAGAAGAAGAGTATGCAAGTCTTTCATCTGCAGTTAATAAATCTGGGATCCCATGAAGGCTGTGTATGTCTTTCTTGAATTCCAATCTCAGGATCCAGCATTAAACTATGTACCATAAGTATTTCCAGCAATTAGTGTTAAATGAGCATGACTAGATGGATTACTAATTTTCTGGACTATCAGCAAGGAGAACTGACACGATTTTTGCCTTAGAAGGAGTTACTTAGAGTGAAACAATCAGTGCCCAGGTTAAATCTGAGAATATTCCTCCACACATTTTTTGCCTAATCTGATTAATCTAATTAAGTGACCTAAGTGGTTAAAAACCAGAAAATATGACATGTCTTCGGACTTTATTATTAAGGAATTTAATGAGAAACAGTTATTTGTATGTAAGAGCATACACTTTCCTGTCCAATTTAGAACTCTACATCATTTTTCCATTAACACACACTTTAAACAGCCACCATCCTTGAGCACAGGTTACGTGAGTGGATACTGCCATCTAGGCAGGCTTTTGGGAGCAGCACCTATTTTAGAACATTGTCTTTGCCAGGGAAAAATATTCTACTATCCAAAACGGAGGAGAAAGGAACATTTTTTATATTATTAAAAAAATCACACATCACCACTCACTGAAAATACAAAACCCGTCCCTCAACCAGATTGTAGTAGTTCACATTAAGAGCAAATATTTTCTACATGTTTATTAAGAAATATATTATTCTGCATTTCCATACACGCAACCTGAACTTAAGCTCTGCACTAAATTACAAACTGCTTTTATCTATGAAAACCGCAAATACAAAGTATATAGTATTAAGGCTATTAACTACCAAAGCACGTTTTACTATGGCAGTACTTCCAACTTGAGATATTCTATGACTCTACTATAATTGTATCTATTTTATATGCTTTGAAATATAGCAACAGTACATTTTTAGAAGACAGTTACTAAAATATCTGTTGATTTTCTACAACGAGAGAAATAATTTTTAAAACCATTTTTCTTTATAAAACCAAAATAGTTTCCATCCAGCACAAAAAATATAAAATACATAATGCATCTGTCTTATTTAAAGCAATAAACAAATTCTACACACGGCATTTACAGGAGACTTACAGACAGAAGACTTGACTAATGTTCATTTTGATTAGAAACATTAACAAATAGCTTCATTATCAGTTGTGAGATTCTGTAGGGAAGATATGAACTATGAACGCAGAATCTTACACAAAATGGTAGTAGGACCTGAAAAGATCATTTAGCACCTTCCATCCGTACAAGTCCTTTGAACGTGGCTTTTTGAGTTGAGTTCTGCTGGAGGGCAAGCATCGCCCCACGTTACAAACAACGAACCACGCTACAAGGATTGCTCCTGAGGTTTGGGACAGTGAGATGAGAGTCGCCTAGGAGCCCTGAGAAGCACACCACTTTGAGATGTGGGCACATGCACTTCGGCACCCATCAATGTTGTCCCAAAGGCCAGATTTCCCTTGGATTTCAGTGGATCTGCTCGATTAACAACCTCCCAGATCATAATGGGTGATGGAGGGGCATGGTGGGGAATACCCACTGACATTCAGAGTGAAGTTATCCTCCTGAGCTTCCTCCCTGGCCTGTTTCAGCCGTCACCTTGAGGACTGCCCTGAGCAGGTTTGTGTACAAAGGTATTCTTCTTTCTCTCTGAAAGAACCCCCTGAATAATAATGGAAATGTGGTTATCTGCTACTGGCATACATCTTCCCAACCCCTCCCCTCCTTCCCCCATATAATAAGAAGCAACGCAGCATGAGATTGGTTTGTACAGAGAGCAAAGCAACCAAAAAGACTAGGAACTGCTGAATTCACACTTAATTTAGGTGGTGGAAAAATGAGCAGAGCTGGTACCAAAGGAATTCAGTAGTAAGCTTTGAAACTACTGTGCTGGATGAAGATCTGCTGCCCTTTGAGCAGTCCTGGAACGTAGGACAAAAGAGGGTAATTTTCACAACATCTTTGCTGCGTCCTTGGCTTGTCATATGGAAAAGAAGGGCATTATTAAAAATTAAGCAAACCTCCACTGAGCTCAGAAGCTCTCAGTCTGAAAGGTTGGACTCCTTTTTGCATTTAGGGATGTTCAGTGCCCTTTATAATAGCAGAGGAAAAATAAACATTCAGGTTTAATTTTATAGCAGAGTCTTTTTGGTAATTTTTTATTTCTGTGTCCTCACCAACAGAAAATGGCATGTGCACTGCCTCTTCTCCCACCACTGGCATGAATATATCAGGGTACTGTTACCTTTTCTAGACAAATTGGCACATTTTGCACAACTGCTTAGGAGCAGACACATTCCATATCTAGAGGAAAAATAATTAAACAAAGGTATTGCAGCAAAGATGTACCAATGGAGCCTCTCACCTATAGCAACAAAGCAAAAAAATCTCTCCTCCCTTCTCAAGAAAAATGGAGTTTTCATTTCCCTTGCAGAAAGGAGAATCAGTATTTGGGACTATTTTACATGAAGCCACTCAACTGAAAGACAGCTAATGACACCGGTTAAAGGAGGTCTGGCTGTCTAAGGTTTATTTTGTTGAAAATACAGTCACATTCAAATAACCTCTTTGGGTTTTCCCCAAAAAATAACAAAACCAAGAGACATGTGCATAATATGTTTTATTGAATAAAATCCTGCTTCTAATATTTACACAGTGAAGTTTAGAGATGTAACCTAGTGAAGCATGGCAATGTATAGCATTCATACAACATCTGGATATCTTTAAATACATCTGAAACTACTTATTATAGCAATCAACTGCCCATCACTGATTTCATAATTAAGGAAGATTTGAACTTTCTGAAGAATAGCCAAGATGAATATTAAGGGTAGTTGAGTTCAGAGAAAACAGTCTGCTATGTGAATTCCAAACCCAAAAGATCTGAGTAAAGTGTCAAGAGTTTTGAAGGCAGCTTCTGTATTTCCCTGTTGTTCTTCTCATCCCTGCAGAAGAAGATGACAAAATAAATTACAAATCTTAAGGCTGAAAGTAATATCCACAACTTAAACACACAGCGCCCTCCATGGTAATCTTACTTTTAAAATTTATAAAGTCATCTTAACCTCAAGGTGTGTGAACTATAACAAAACACTTACTTATTATGCATTAAAAATGATATTAAACTTTTAAAGCTGCCAAGATAGACAAACAGAAATTAGAAATGCTGCAACTGATATCCAGCGTCAAGACAACACTAATTACCACCATTTACACAAAAACTTCATTATGAAGTGTCTTCCATCCCACTCTAGCACGTTAAGCAAAGTGTTATGCGTTGGTTTTTTTAAAGCTCTACTAGATATACTATCAATCTACTATCACAGTGAAGAAAGGTCTGGTAAAAAGAACTATAGTCAAAGCTTTCCTATTTATAGGGTTTTTTAAAGATAATTTCATTATTCCTGATCTTGCATGAATTCTCAGCAAGGTTTGAATGCAAGTATAGACTTGCAACAGCCATACTAACAGACTAACTCATAGCACTAGTAGACTGTTATCTTATATTTGGACTACTCACTGGTGGTGAATAAGACATGATTCACCGGCCATTTGCATGATTTTTGCCATCCAGCAGGAAAACATTATAAACTAGGAACGTTGCATCCTACTCAAGCCCCTGGAGGTTGTTTATTCTAGTGGGCTACAGACAGCGCATTATAAAAGGCAGGCAGTCTAGCCTGCCACATTTGGGATTCTGCGTTGAAAAAAACCTGGTTGCTCGTCTCAGGTTAAAAGGAAATGATCTTGCACAGTCTCTCATATTTTATTTACCAAACAGGGAGAGGAATTACATTTTTCCTGTGCCTCAAGTTATCCCGTATGAAGCCCTGCCTAATAACCAGGAGTGCAAAGAACAGACAATTACTAACCAAAGTATCTATCAGGTCCCTTCCTGTTTCCCAGCACAACTTACTGGTTGAGAAAGGGAAAGCACTGCTGTCAATTTGCAAGTCTCTCCCAACTGGAGCACTGGTTCTGAGCAAACTGTATTGGATGTTCAAATACAACTTCAAATACATACTTGGAAAGACAAATAGATTTAAATCAACCCCCCATCATCCACTAACATCGCCTAACCTTTAAGCACCAAGATTAAACTTTCCATAAAATAGTTCCATAACGAAGTTCAGTGTGATAACTTTGTATTTTTAGAGAATGAATTTGTAATGGTAACGGTGTCTTTACATACACACACACACTCTCATGGAGGTAAGCTGTCACCTGGCAGGGACAGCTTTAAAATTCAGAATTTGACAAGAAAACAGAATATGGACATGCGGTAGAAAAAGCTGCAAAAGATAACAGAAAAGCACTTGGCTATTTGCCATTTCTATGCTACAGCCACCCCTCAATATATTTGTGTATCACAACAGTATATTTTATAAAATTTGTGGCTGTTTTCTTTTGTTTCTTGTTTTATCTTTTTTTTTGTTCTTTTTCCCCTCCCCAAATGAACAGCCAGACACCGTTCCATCTATCCAGGAAATGTATATCCATCCTAATCTCACTGTTCCTTTTCTCTTTATCTTTTTTCCAACCACAAAGAGTTATCTGGAACACAGCTGCCTACCTGGAAGCTATTTCTCTTATAGCTAACATAGCTATAAATTTTAATAACTAAGAAGCTGCTGAAAGATACAGATTTTGCTCTTGCCTGTCTCATCGGTGAGGTATATGGTATGCATTGTGAAACACTGTCTTTGAGCAGGAAAATCATCTGTACTGTCAATCTCAAGATAAGCAACTATGGATGTGTGAGACACTGTCAACACAGGTTGAATAAAACCAAATGTACATTAAGATAATAAGGCTAAGTTTAGAAATGATTGCCTGTAGCATCCAGCTTGAGACCTTGCATTAGCCTCAGACACAAAGTAGTAAGTTAATTCAGGTGCCTGAGAAGAACCTTTCTGGATATGAGGTACCTTTGTACACACAGCCAAACATATTTCAGGGAGGGGTTTGTTTGCCTGTTTTTTAGAGAAGATGCGGATTTATTCTTTGTTAACTGAGAAATACTTACTTGTGTGAACAAGGACAGAAAGATTTCGACACACACTTAAAGAAAAGCATACCGTAACTAGTAAAAATAAGTTTGGAGTTAGCATCCCCATGCTTTAATATAGAATCTGTTTCCAGGTCTGAAGAGGACTTTCATACAGCGGTAGACCATGAAACATTATACAACTTGGTGTTATCCAGTTACAAGGGGAGGGAATCATATCACTGCAGACTTCATGAAATGAAGTTGCAGGTAGCTTCTCACTCAAACTACAGAGATTTCAGGCCGTGTTAGAAAGGACAATCTGACATACAACATTGATATATTTGACAATTACTACTTGTTTTTTTTTCCCCACAGCCTGCCTGAAAGCAATAGATGAAGCAATTTCTAGTAACTTGTCAATTAAGAGGGGAAAAGAAGAAGGTAGCCAGCCATGCCACCAGGTTGTATTTAACAGAAATTACTTGAAACATAGGCCAAGCAACAACTTAGCCAGCTTGGCCATTTCTGTAACTCAAAAGCCAACCCTACATCCCTCTTCACCAGGTGTACTGCTAGCTCCTTTGTCTCTCCAGCAGTAGGACAACAAGGGGCCCAACTTTTCTAACATCCAGAAGACTATGGCTGTGCTCAAATCCATACAAACCATAACATCATTTCTTAGAAAAGATATCCCTGTCTCCCTACACGTGAGGAGGTTTGGAATACATCAACTTCATCAGTTCGGACCGATGGCAAGTAACGTCACTAATACATGTTATACTGAGTACAAAAAGAAGCAACTGTAAAGCAATCCTTCAATTTCTCAGAAACATAAGCGCACTACCTTATATGCAAACTCTGTGGAGTAGATAGCAGGATGGAGATCTACTACAACTGCTGTGACAAGCACGTAAGACCAATTACCTACTATAGCACACAGAAAAATAAGGGAATACTCCCCTGAAATGTGCCTTACAACAAGGCACGTTAAGGTTCTCTCTTAGAAAAACCTTTGAGCAGCTCATTCTGTAACACTAATATCTAGTCACACCAGCCAAAAGACGTGGTGTTATGGGCCCCACCATCCGGATGTTTTCTTAGACAAACCAGAAAGCAGAGTTTTCTGTGTCTTCACACTGTTTTCCAGACAGCCCCTAATAAACCTGCTCCTTGATATGCTAAATCCATGTTTTCAGCTGGCTGATAACTTCCTCTGATATTTGTGTGTGGTGCAGCCCACAGGAGAAATGTAGATATGAATGCAGATGACTTTTCCACATTTTAGTCCATATTACCTTCACAGAAAGGTTTAGTGTCGACTTCCAGTCTGGAAACTAGATTGTGTGCAAATTCAATGCAATCTCCGAACCCACTTTTTTCACCTCATACCTCCCCCCTCACTTTACCATCCTATGGAGGAATGGGGTTTAAACCAAGTCTCTGAACCACCAAATGTCCTTGGTTTGTCTCCGTTTCCTTACACAGAGGTAAGAATATTTGGTCCTTTGGTTTCCTTTGGAAAGGAACAGATTAGAGGCTACCGAGCATGGCCCAGTAACTTGCCTCAAAGAGCAGACACAACCCATTCTCTTTAGGAAAGCTTCACTGACTTTATTACAGAGGTGCCAAAGAAAAAAGAAAATAAGTCTTTAATAAATTTACTTCAACTCCAATAAAAGGCAAGGACAACTGTCATGAAAAAGAGAGCGTTTACCACATACTCTACAAAAAAGGTCACAACATTCTTCAGTTTTAATCCTAAGGAAATGCTCTAGCATGTCAATAACGTGATTTTGGGGAAATATTCTAAGTGGAACTACATTATTTTTCGGAGACACCGCCTCACTGGTAGCGTCCCCATTTCACATACAGGCGCTCCACTGTCAGCTATCGAGAGAAACAGAGAAAGTGAAATGCAAGAAGTCGCCCTGAAAGTAAGTATGCATATAAATGGGATTAACATTAAGGTATTGACAACCTTCCACCCCGGCCCTAAATTTAATTCACAGCTTAACGTACAGGTAAAATGGACACGAGAGGGCGCCCCTAATGCAGGGCCCACCTTGGCCCTCCCATCTGCGGCGTCAACAGCTAAAAATCCCCTGCCTGCCTGTTGCAGGATCTCCCCCTTCCAAAGGAAAACAGGCCTGTTGTTTTCTTCCGTTCTTTTTAATTCAGATGTACAAGACTCAATAGCAAAAACTAGGCTACTTGATTCGCTTAATTAAAGGAAGTAGAGAATACAATGCGTTGACACATTTCCTAATTATTAAACTTTGGTCATTAAACACCAGAAGTTCTCTCACAGCAACGCACAATACTGAGTCCCGCTTGGCCACTGCCAGTCTAATGCTACTTAGTATTATATTACAATGAAACAAAGACAAAAGGTGTTACAGACTGCAATTAATAGACATGTAATAGAAATATATATTACTTCACAGACTTGGTGCCTGAAGGGCTCTGCAAACAAATCTTCAAGCATGATCAAATTACATAAAAGATTATAAAGAAAAATTATTTTTAGAATAAATATTAAATATAAGCCTTATAATTATATTTGAACAGAACTGTGAGATACTACAGATACTTCACGTATTTTCAATGCTCTGTGTATGTTTGCAATGCAGTGCCTATATTCGGTGTAAATTGGGCCTTATTAGTACCTCACAGGATTACGGGCCACCCTGAAGAGTGAAAAATTATAAAATTTAACACTATGGTTTGCCTATGAAATACTTGTAAGTCTTCTAATATAGGCAAAAATATATTCTGTGCATAACTATTCCTTTCACCTTTCACTTTACATTCTTTTCACTTCTCAGGATACAAGACATTTAATTTTCAGATTGATTGAGCAAGGTAATTAATTTTAAACACTGACTTCAATGGCACTACTTAAAAATATTCAGTCGCCTTTAAGACTGAAGGCCCAAAGTCATAAGAGGCAATTCTTATTATAAATAAATAACTAAATAAAAGAGCAGTACTTTAGCCCCAAACCTTGCAATCACTCTGTCAGAATCCTTACAGGCAAACTGTCAGTATAAGACATTATTTCTCACCTGTACTACTGCTCAGTAGTTAATCATTTTTCGAAGAGCATCATAGCATTTCCATTTGTCTGGGATGTAGAAAGGCTCAAAGATGTGAGGGAAAGGAGTGTCATAGCCACATACTCTTGAAATAGGAGCTTCTAAATTCAAAAAGCATTCCTCCTATTAACAGAAATACAGAATAAATGTTAGTGAGGCCATTATTTTCAGGAGTCTTACATCACAAATTGAGGTCGAATGAACTTTGCCAGACTGACAGTCCTGGAAACTCAAACCTTCTATTTATATCACAGCATAAGTAGTCCAGACCAGAACAGTGCTTCCTTTTGCCCAAAGGTCCATATTAAAATAACAACTTGTATTAATGTTATTTTCATTTTCTACATGTGTGCTGCATTAAATCATAGGCAGGTTATATTTAGTACATCTGCTATACATCCAGACAAGTGCTGCCAAGAAACAAATATTTTAGGAACAAAGGAGTAAGAGTTTCTTTCCTGTGCCACTTTTAAACATATAGAAAAATTACATAATCTAAGAGAGTGTATTATTTGTTGGATACATGAACATCATATTCAAACTTCTTTGAACCCTTAAATTATTAACACTCTGTCTGAGAAGCATTAAGCAGTTATGGAAATTATTAATTTGTACTCAAGTGGATTTGCGTATCTCCAACCCTTGAGTCACATCCATGCTCTACACAAAACCCCGTAACTTGTGTTCTATTTGGAGATCAGATTTGGCAATGACTGTGAGGGTTTCATTACTCAACCTAGTAGGGCACAAAATATTACAAATACACCATATTAATCTGAAAGTAACCTGTGGAAATATGTGTAACGTTACCAGGTTTAATAACCAAATAAATAGTGGGGTTTCAATCTTCCTGCTCTCAAGTACCAGAGTGATGGCAGGGACCATGAAAATCTGCAAGAAGTAGACGCAGAAATAACTTTGCCAGATCAAACTGATGTTGATGCTAATTATCAGCTCCTTTTCTCCCCATATCTTTAGCATATGTATTTGCTTTCCAGAGCAGACAAATGAAGAGACAAAACATTGTCCTTCTGGCCTCTCCTTTATGGACTGCTGCAACCAAGACATCCTGGCCAACTTCCCTGTACTTGGCTCAGCAAAATGGAAGATGAAGGATTATCTATCAGTCCTTTTCCACCAGGCCCACAAGGAAAACAGTCAAAGAGCTATGCTTTTCTGCAGCAAAGTGCTAAGTATTTTCTCAGACTGATGAACTGTTTTGAATGCACATTGCCTTGCAGTCCATGGCAGCCTAACTCTAACTTACTGTGCTTTTTATACATCACGATATTTGGCAGCATAGAAGGTACTCATAACACACTGAGATTATAACCTTTTGCTCCAGCTACCACTTCAGTGCATTGTGAAGTGGCACATTTCTGGAAGATAGATGGAAGTAAAAAGTCCGAGAGGTTGTGTGATTGCATACAGTGTCATTACATGTAATAGTGAACTAATTCACCTAGAAAACTTCAGAGTCTGAATAGGTCTGAGGTAAAAATATATGCAAACAATATAAAGATTTTTTTGAGCTCCATTTTCAGGCACTCCTGTGCTTTTCTTTGTAAAGTGAAAGATTCACATTAGTACAAAATGCTGGGAAGTAGAGTGTATTAAATCCTTTACCTGTCCATGAGGTAGATCATGATGTCCTACCCCAACCTGCTGGCAAGGATATTTTTGATACTAATCAGTCTTTGGTTCCCATGTTGTGACTGCCCAATAAGACAAAGCAATAGCTTTCGGACCATCCCAAAACTGACTGCCCAGACCCTGTGAAATTGCATTACACCAAAACATACAAGTATATTCTAGACCCACAGCCTTCCAGTCCTGCGCTGCTGTTTCAGAGTACCCGACACAGGACCACTACCTAGGAGAGACCTTTGGTTTACGTCATAACGAGCTCTGTGATAAGGGCTCATCCCAAATGAAGCTTGGAGAGAAAGTTCATTAGTTTCACTGAAAATATTTACTGCAATATTCCCATACACTGGGCATCCGTGCAGAGAGCAGCACTGCACCTTCAGCAGCCCAAGCAGCAGACAGAGAAATGTTAGCCGCGACTGGCAGGCTGGGTGCTATACTCCCCTGAATGAGCCCCCAGGCCTGGCTGTAAATATAAATCTCAGGTGGTAAACCCAAGCCATATAGAATAGTTGCAAGCATGCATATTTATTAATGCTATTGCTGTTATATTTAATTCAGAATAAAAATTAAGTCATAAGACTTTCCAAAACTCCACTTAGTATTTTTTTTCCTCAGGGAGAACCCAAATCAACTGTTACAAGCACCCCTTCTGGGGTTTTAAAATTCAGCAGTCGCTTTCAGTTTGACCATACACCTATTGCGTTGAAACTTGAACAGCTTCCAAAGAGTCATGTAGATTCCCTTGCCTCAGTGAGGAATTCAGAGAGTGAAGCTGAGATGAGCAGAGTGTTGTATTGTCAGATACAATCCAAGAATGATGACCCAAGAAAGGTGAAGAACTCTTTAGTCTGAGCTACTCTGTGTGTGTATGTGTATATAGAAAATTACTCTTACTATTATTAAGGGTATGTGCAGATTTTTAACTAAGCTATTGCACTGTATGAGTAAAATACTTCAGAGGCAGTAAAAACAGACCCAAGCCACCAGTCAATTCCATGAGGGAAACTCTCTACTTACACATTATTTGACTGAAATCGACACAGTTTCACAAAGGTTCACATCCAAGTGGCTCTGACTGTACTAGTGTCACACACAGAATTTCACATCGTAATAGCTGATCATGGAAAAAGTAATTTTCCTAGCAAACCGATAAAATTTTTATAACGATAGACTGAATAAACTGCTTACAGTTTTTAGAGTACCATCATAGAATGGTTTGTGTTGGAAGGGACCGCCAAAGATCATCTAGTCCACCCCCACACTGTAAGATCATCTTACGATGTATTTTTTACCTTACCGGCCATACCTGAAGTCATAGGTAAATCCTATACATATGTATATGTTATTATGCAGAGGATTGTTAGATTATTGATGCATACATTTTACAGATGCTGGTTTGGGTCAGGTGATGTGTTGGTTATGGAACTTACTGGAGTAAGTCTCTCAATGTCAATGACCACAGTAACAACAGAAATGCTGCAGACCTAGCAAAACGAAGATGATTCAGTTGACATTACTTAATTCACAGATTTACTGACAATATTTGCAAGAATATTGGTAAAAGCAAATTGCAAAGAAGAAAAGCTTTTAAGATTTTTTTTTTTTAATAGAGTGGAAATACAATCATAATCCAGAAGGTGGAGTATAAAGTTATCAGAATACGGTATTTGAAAACAATCAAGAAAATGCACTTTTACTTTACAATGTAGAAGCATTGTAAAGAGACAAGAGTCTTGATCTTGCTAAGAGCTTCACAAACACTTGACCTTGGCATCATGGTTCTTATTCAAAATGTAATAAAGCTAATGTTTTTATGACTTTCACCATGCTCACAGTAGGATAGCTAGATTTACTCACAGAATCACAGTAATACTCCTGCTATATGCTAAGTATTTGGTTCTCAAAAAAAAAAATTCATAAATCCACACATTTTACACATAAGCAGTCATAGAAAACAAGCTTAAGGAAATATCTTAATAAGATGATTTAGAGAGAAACTATGTCTTTTCTTTTTACAAACATGTAAGGTGGTTTGATAGAAGTTACTACTACTTTACTAGCGGTGCTTTGGATACATCTAGGTATGCAGCAAGTCTTTTGTAGGACTGAGGTCTTTGCTTATAATGACCTATAATTAGGTTTGGAGCCAGTTTTGTTTAAAATACAAGTAATAAAGTTTACCAGTTCATGGGGTTTTGATTTATCTCTGGAATCAGTTCAATTTATGGGACAATATATTCAGTTGTGTCCTTTAAATGCAAATCAAACCAAACTTTTTCACAAAGTTACAGAATATGAAACTGCCTGCTTGATGGCATTAACTTAATAGCTGTAATGTGAGCAAATGAGATTACATTCTTCATTAGATGGCATTACACTTTGAGTTCATGGGGTTTTGATTTATCTCTGGAATCAGTTCAATTTATGGGACAATATATTCAGTTGTGTCCTTTAAATGCAAATCAAACCAAACTTTTTCACAAAGTTACAGAATATGAAACTGCCTGCTTGATGGCATTAACTTAATAGCTGTAATGTGAGCAAATGAGATTACATTCTTCATTAGATGGCATTACACTTTGAAAAATCATCGTGTTAGCAAGATTTATATCCTAATATAAAAAAAAAATGTATAGTCTATGGACATATTTCTAACTCATCTTCCCTTTTGAGCTTGAAGAGCACTTAACTCAAGTGATCAGCCCATCAAATAGCCTATCTTACACGGATTCTTGTTCACACCTGCTGCTAAAAGTTAGACTGAAGGACAAACAAGAGTCCAGCTCATCCCAAATATGATACTGCCACATCTGCAGTACATGTTGCTGTGCCAGATTTTTTGCACCTGCACAGCCACATTGTAGAGAAACACGACTGAGAATATTAAATACACAACGCCCAGCTCTTTTTAAGACCAGTTAGCAGACATCCATTGTACAAACCTATCAGAACAAGTCTACCGCAGTATTTAAAAGAGTGATAAAAGATCAAAATTTTAAATTAAGTGCATTTACTCCCAACTACTTGGGCATATAAGGGCTGGTACTCGCCCAACGCGCTCTTGCACAATAGGGGAATGCAAGCTTACAGTCTTCAGTAAGTCCCTGCATATTTCAAAGAGACTGTTTAAACAATCTGACATCTTTCAAGGAAAGACCTTAGGAAAAAACTTAAAAATTAAATGGTTTTGGAAGTGAAGTAGTAGGCATGGGATTTCTGATTCAGTGTAAAATGTTTTAAATTCAGTTTTGAAAATAGTATGAAAAAGTCATACTTATTTAGTAGAATACCCACTAACTTCCAAAATTCAACTGAAGTAAAAAATTATTGTTTTGTTAGAAAAAAAATTGCTTATAAAGGAACAGATATAGTTATTAGTCTAATATATTCAAATTATCTTAATTTTTAAAAATTCAGACAAAACGTTAAATCATCATTCTTCCTGCTTCCTAACTGCAGAGGTCAAATTCTGG